TACTACAGCCACTTCCTGGATGAGGGAGAGGTGTTGGCTGGGAATGGCCACCTCAGGCAAACCGGGCTTCCTGCCTGGACGGTCTCCTGCCTTCTGAAGTCCAACGTGACCCTCCAGTTTCTCAGGTGGCACGGCTGAAGGCGGCACCTTCTTAGAATCACAGCATTTAAGAGACAGGAGTTGGGAGGGGCAGAAACTCAGGGCCATCCTTGGTTTTGAAGCAAGTTTGAAGCTGGTATGGGCTACTTGAGCCCTCTCTCAAAAAGCAGATAAAAGTCTACCGACACTTGCTGAGCCACTCACTCATTCATTCACTCACTCACTGCCTGTTTTCCAAGCAGGTCCGTGGATAAATTCACCACCTCTTTACATCCAATTCTACAATTAAATTAGCCTATGTCTCCCAGCCAGACACACCCTGGCCCCTCACGGCAGGCCTCAGGACTTACTGAGAATACCAGCCCTGGACATGGCAGGCTCATTTATCCTAAGCCTTTAATACCATGAAGAAACTGAAGCTGAGAGCCCAGAATTCTCCAGCTGGTCCTGGAGCAGGTCAGCAGCTCATACTGTTCCTCTTATTCTGCTAGTAAGTGTGAGCTCACACCAGGGTGCCTCTGCCATCAGCCAAGACTATTTGCTAATGTCCCTTGGCCCACTGTAATGAAACTCATGTTGCTGAAAAATGGCAGGACTGCTGAGGAACTCAGTCACAAAGTAAGGTGGCAAAGCTGGGGAAGAATGACCGGCGCCTCTCCAGGGCACTGGCTCAGAACTCCTGGATGGGTTGCATTTTTTCTCTCCAATAAAATCTCAGAGATTACGGTTTATAGCAGCATGAAGCAAGTTTCCACCCTGATGTGGGAGCAGCACAGAGGGAGGTGGCACAAGCCCCTAAATGACCAGGAGAAGAAATCCGCCAGGAGCCTGAGCCACGCCCTGAAGGGCTGTGTGATTTTCTGGGCAAGCGACTCAATCCAGCCGGGAGTCAGACCTGCACGGTACCTGTGCCGCAGCCACTCCCTCAGTTATCCCGAGGCTGCTTAAGTTGCCTTGGATCATAGAGGAACTCAATGCTTTTGTTAGTGGAAATATGTAGCCCAGGCTGGCCTTGATCCTCCTGGGACTCCAGACAACGGCTGCCATGCCTGACTGGGCCACCTGCTTTTTAAGAATAGATCCCCAAGGGATGTTAACTACAGCCTGACAGCCCTGACCCCTAGCTCACATCTAGCATTCAGTCAATTTTAGCATTCAGGAAGTCAACTACAGCCAAGGCATTTGCAAGGGCCCAAGACACCAGCCAAAGAGCTCAGGAGGAAAGTGACTCAGAAGGGTTGATTCACCCTGCCCAGGGTCACACTGCCACAGTGGTAGCCCCAGCCTTCCAGCCCCCAGCATTCCAGTCATGGGTCCTTCATCGTACGGTCTCTCTCGGTCTCTCTCCACCATAGACGCACTCTGCATGGGGCCCTGCACTAACTCAGGTGTTCTAGAAGGGAAAGACCTGTGCTATTTTTAAACAGTTCTCGGTCACCGTGCAGCCCTCTGGCTGGCAATCACACCTGAGCTCTACTCTGCACTGCTGAGTGGCTGTCTGCCAGTCAGAAGATCCTGGAAGCAGAACGAGGGTTTCTGCCAGCTGTGGCCTGAGATGATGTTTTTAAAGTAAAAGAAGCCGTAAAAGGCATCTCCAAAATCTGCTCCCTTTCGCCTACTAACACCCTGCCCAGCAGAGGGGAAACAGGCAGGGTGTGACATTCACTGCCAGCTGGTGGCTCCCATCTCAGAAACCCCACACCTGCATGGAGCCCTGGCCACAAAGCCAGGCAGGATCCCGGGAGCCCTAGAAACAAAGCTGGAGGATCAAACAGAGAAGAAAAATGTCAGGGGACCAACAGAAAGGGGCTATGGAGTCACATAGAATCACTGGCCTGCTGTGTTCCAGACAAACTGTTACAGCCAGCGGCTCAAAAATTACCGAGGTGAGGAAGTGACAAGGCTGATGGACGGAAGGGAAGAGCTATATTTGGATGGCAAAGACCCAGGTTCCTCTCCAGTCCCACACTGGGTCAGGGTACCCCTCAGTCATGGGGCTACTCTAGCCAGTCCTGCAATCACTCTGCGCCCCGCAGGCTCCCTCTCTGTGAAAGAATCCACACGCAAAGCAGCTGTGAGGGGCAAACGCTTTGATGCCTTCCATGGACAGAGACGGCAACCACCGCTTGGTGCACGGTTACTGAGCACGCACCATAAGGCCTGACCACAGAAATGCTCCTCCTTGCTGTCGTTCAAACAGTGGACAGCAGAGCAAGTCATCCTAATCAGTTTTAGGAGTCCGGGTTATAGGTGAGTGATGGCAGGCTTCCCTGGCACATGTAAAGACCTGATTGGGCTCCACTCCCAGTGTCTCAGGAGTCCAGAGGGAAGACACCAGAAAGACTTTTAAGAGTCCATCACTGCCCCCTGAGGGGGGGGGGCACAGAGGAGGACAGTGCAGCCAGTCCTGATGAGACCTGATAGGCTAGGGTCAGATGGAAGGGGAGGAGGACCTCCCCTATCAGTGGACTGGGGGAGGGGCATGGGAGGAGAGGAGGGAGGAGAGGAGGGAGGGAGGGTGGGACTGGGAGGGGGCTACAGCGGGGATACAAACTGAAACTGAATAAATTGTAATAAATTTAAAAAAAAAAAAAGAAAGAAAGAAAGAAAAGAGAGTCCAGGTCTGGAAGTTGTGGTTTTTGTACCTCCATGACAAACTCAATATAAGAAACCTCAGATTCACCAGTGGATTTGAGAGCTGCCATGGCAGGGCTTGTGAGAACTGGGACACGACCGCACATGGGTTGGCACAGAAACAGGCGATTGCTCTTTGAAGCTGTCCAGGGCCCACAACCAGATGCAACACGGCTCCATAGAGTTTCTCACAGAGCTGGGAAAGAGTCCATAGGAAATCCAGTTTGATCGGCAGCTCACAGCCCAGGGACATTTTTGTGCAGCAGCACATGGAGAGCTCGCCACTGGCCACAGGGCTTCAGAAAGCCAGCAAGTCAGGCAAGCAAGGGAGAGCGGAAGGCTGGCCACCTGGGCTCGAGGGGTGTATGAACAGGCGAAAGCACTTTTCGGGAACCATAAAAGTAGCACACTTCGGACAAAGGTCTTCTTGGCTACACAGACCTTTTCCCAGTCACTTTACCCTTCCTTCTGCCCCTTCATTAAGAACTACCAAGTGTAGGGGGGGGTTGGCACATGCCAACCAGCGCTCAGAGGGCAGAGGCAAGAGGATCTGAATTTGAGGCCAGCTTGGTCTACAGAATAAGTTCCAGGACAACCAGGGCTACACAGAGAAACCCCATCAGGAAGAAGAAAAACAAAGACAAACAAACAAAACTGTTGAAAACCTATTCACAAATAGTTTGGTCAATATGAGTGTCAGGCAAAGATACATCCTGAGGTGTGTTTGGACAGAAGGGATCAATAAACCATGTAAAGGTTCCCAAGGCCAGGAACAGCAAGTAAGCTCCGGGATGTCCTTTGACACAGAAACTCTAGCTTCTCCACAACTTCGGAATGAGTTTCCTGGAAGAAGAGTGGAGGGCAATCCCATTTCAGCTGCGGTCAGTTCCTCTGCCCTGCAGGCAGCTCACAGCACCAGACAGTCCACACCCTCTGTGGGGCTCCAGCTCACACTCTGGAGTCATTAAGAGCCAGGGTGTGGGGTTAGGTGGCAACACCGTTCTGGCGGCCTAGGGCTGCCCATCGATCAGGGAAACGCCAGAGCAGGGCTGTGGCTTGCACCCATTATCTCTCCTCCCTCGGGGCTGTCAGGAGACTGCCTCCCCAGACTCCACACCCTGCCTAGCTCAGGCCCGGGAGCTCCTGAACTGTAGTACTCCCATAGCAGCACCGGCCTGACTTCCCGCTGGGAAGCCAGCAAAGTTCTGGGCGAGCCCAGCTGGTTCTTCTCTCAGCTCATTAGTTGAGGAAGTTAAGTTTTCCAAGCCGCCACCTTCTTTTTCATGCCAAATGAGCCCTCACGGGAGCTTCACAGGAAAGCGTCGGGAACAGAGAGCCCCGTCTCCCTGTTTACCTAGATTCCCACGGAATGAACGCTGACCAGGGCCTATCCCTTTGGAGGAAACAGGGTCTTTGGTTCCCTAAACTAACGCTATAATCTCTTAGGAGGCTTTATCTGCTAAAGAGGAAGGACTCACCACAGCCTGCAGAGCCACACCTACAACCTCGGGCTTTTCCCTCAACCTGTCGTGTCACTGTCCACACAGAGTGGAGGGCACTGCCCTAGCATATGGCACTGAACTCCAGCGATTTCTCCAATAAGCAGGTCTCGCTGTTTCGGTAAGATGTCACCCACCCCGCTGATAACTCGCACAAGCATTCAATAAGCTTCTAACTCACGCCAGTATTTTTTTTTTTTTTCTCGGAATGGAAAAGTCTCAGGCCACATTTCCTCTGCCCCCCACATCCTATGCCTGGACCAAGGAAATGCCAGAAAAACTTTCCATTTCTTAGAAAAACAAAAGGAGAACACCATTTCCCGGGCTCCACAGACTTTCCAGAGGGATTCCCACGTGTCGGTTACTAGTTGGGGCTCCGGAGCGCCGCCCGGCCCAGCCCGGCCCCACCCACTGCACCGGGCAGCCGCTCGCCCGGAGCTGGGGACGCGCCTCCGGGTCTGGATCGGTGGTCAGGAAGCCGGCGGTCTCCTCGCACCCCTTTTTAATCGCTCCTTCCAACTCCAACTCCCCGGCCAAAGCAGGAGCGCGGTGCGCCCGCTCTGCCGGTGCCGGGCTCGTGTCCACGTGTGACCACAGACTCCCTGGGCCCCTTCCCCTTCTACATGCCCTAGCGGTTCGGGATTCCCGCCAGGAGCCCGGGATCTAGCCAGGCGCAGGGGGTTGGGGGCGCCCCAACCCCACCCCCGGTGCGGTTCCTGTCCTCGCAACGGCGCAAGGCTGGGCGCGCATGGCGTCCGGGACACTCACCGGGACCTCTGCAGCTGCTCGAAGGCGCTGGCGCTGCCACCCTGGCCTGGCTGCTCCAGGGCGCAGTAGTTCTGCGAGTTCTGCCGGGAGAAGGCGATGGGCAGGATTCCCTGAGTGAAAGAGTTGAGGCGGCCCCGGCTGCCGCTCGCACCCCCGGGGGTCCCGGAGCCCAGGAAGCTGGCCGGGGGCACCTGCACGTTGCTGAAGGCATCGTCCTCCTCCAGCTCCCGGCCGGCCACCCCCGGCCCGTCGGGCAGCTGCAGCTGAGCACCGGGGCCGGCCGGGGCCGAGCGAGGCGGCTGCGCTGGCTCCCCCGACGCCCGGGGGACCAGGGACGGCGGCAGAGGGCAAGGGCTGGACCCGGAGCCGACAGCCCACGGCGCGGCCGCCGTGCCCGGCGCCGAGAAGGCGTTGCAGCCGGCGGCCAGCAGGCTGAGCCGAGCCCTCGCGCCCGGCTTGGTCGCGCCTCCCTCCTCGCCGCCGCCCCACTCGTCGTTCTGCAGCGGCGGCCGTCCGTCCAGAGAAATGTTGGTGAGGAACGACAGGGC